AAATGGGAAAGAATTTAGCTTGGTTGACCCTGAAGCCAAGATCATAACAGGACTTGAAAACAAAACACCGCAATAAGGAATGGGCCGCTGTCTGCCAAGCGCTGGGGATGATCCAATCAGTCCCATATTGAACTCGCTATTCCTCACAGGGACACGCAAGAAAGTTTGCTTGGAGTGACACATCATTTTAAGAGAAGAATACATTCGCACTTATATGTGGATCAGTGGTTCATATGTCGGCTTAACGGGTTCGGATATCAGCTCAGGCCTTGTTCATGCCTTTGTATGTTCTCTCCAGGCTAGCGTGGATTTTTTTCTCCCGCGTTCCAAAACATGCCGGTTAAGTTGATTGAAGATTTTAAATTGTCAATAGGTGCGGATGTGAGGGTGACTGGATGTTTGTTTTCACGGGCCCTGAGATTGGCTGACGACCAGTCCAGGGTGTACCCTGAATCTTGTCCAGTGTCTGCTGGGATAGAATCCAGCTCACCCGCGACCCTGTTGAGGACAAGCACGATAGGAAATGAATGAAGTATTCATTAAATTTGCTCATGTGAGGAGCAAAGCTAATGTCAACCATCCTCACACAAGACTTCAGCTCAGGAGGCATCTAAAGGATTTGTGTTTTGCTTCTTCTTTACCTTTTTGTGTTTTTCCAAATTGGGGTAGGGCTGCTGGCAAAGATGGAACCTTTGATGATGACCTTGAATGCAATGTAAGAAAGCAGTTCACACACTATGGATGCTCACTACAATATGGCACAGACAACAATAACAATTAAAGAAAAAAAAGATTCATCACATTGTGACAATATTTGAGGATACACAGCCGGCAAATACAATGTTAGCTTACCATGTTGCTGCGCCTCAGCTATGGACACTGCAGTTTTAGACCGCAGAGTCTCCACTTTGCTGCAGAAATCTCTTATCTGTTCCTAAAATGTCTCTTCAGAGTGGGCAACTGTCTTATGGCAAAAAGGAAGACCCTTGTTCACCTCCATTGCTTGTTTTTTTTTTCGATCCTCATTGTGATCGATGCATTCATGGTGGCGTGGAGAAAATTGCACCACATTCTGCATGCAGGCTCAAAGGTGAGAACATAAATCCTTTGCACGACACATAACAACGTTAAAATGTTACTTTAAACATTGCCCGTACAGTTAATAAATGTTTTTTTGAAGGTGAAACCGTTTTTTTGAACGGA